CCCGTCTCCGTCAGCATCGATGCCCGTCGCCCCACGCAGCTGGTGGGTCTTCGAGAGGAGCCCAAGAAAGGGCTGCGCTTTCCTTCCCGTGACCCAACTTCCATAAATTATTCCAGTTTCGGCTCGTGGCGTCCTCGTTCTCGGCGACAGCATCGGCGACGCCTCCCGGAGAGCGAATTTCAGCCCCGTTCGGGCGGCGATTCGGGGACTGAATCCAAAAGTTGGCAGCTTTTCCCTTCAGCCTCTGCTCCGAGGGGCACCTTGAGGGTTGCCAGGACGTGCCAGCGATGCGCCGTCGGATGCCCACCAGCATCCTTTAGGGCTCAGACCCGTCGCCGCCGCGGCGTAAAGGGCCCTTGATGAAACCCGATAGACCCGAATCGCCGTCCGTCACCCAAAACGCTCCTGCCCGGCTCCTCGGTGCTGGCTCAGAAAAAATGGGATTTCCAGCGTTCCTGGGTGCTGAGTCAGCACAAAGGGCTGGCGCTTCTCGGAGACGGAAACTGAGCCGGTTTGGTTCGGGGTCGTGCCGGTGAGCCCCCTCCTTCGGCACAGCCTCGCGGGTCACCGCGGCCGGGCTGCGCCGCGCGTTAGGACGTGTTTGTGAACGTGTTTTTCACGGTTTGAAACGCAGAAGGAGAAACAAATCGTTGAAATGGAAGCGTCCTGCTCGGCCAGACACATCTCTGCAAAAAAAAACCCAAACCTGCGATGTCAGCGAAGCTGCAGTCAGCAACTGAAAACCATTTTCTTTTCTAAAAACAACAAAAAAAACCCAACTGTGGGCAGTTCTGTCAACAAAGCTCCTTTGTCCTCATGTCAGAGCCGGGCTACACCCCACCAGTGTCCTCCTCTGTCTCTCCCCTCTGGCCTTGGTAGGATTTTTTTGTAAAAAAAGGATTTTTGAGATGCAAAACGAAGCCATACGCCTGGAGCTGGTATTTCCATGGTGGTTTTAACTCGCTCCAGGACTCCGAAAAGAAGTGGTTTTCCTCTGCCCCCACCTTAGAAGAGTCAGCGGCAGCAAAATCTGGCAGAGAAGCAGTCAGGAGGTTCAGCCTTTTTGGCCAAAAGATGCGAATTTGGCTGTTCCTGTGGCTGCTGGGGAGGAAGCATGAACTAGTAAAAAAAAAAAAATAAAATAGGAATGGGGAAAGACAAAAGTGAGGGTGAGGGACGGCGCGGAAGGAGGTGGTGACCTCCCGTTGTCTGATTTTTTTGCCTCTTCCTTCTTCCAAAAGTTGGGGTGCGCCTTTCGGTGAGCGGGGCTGCATCCGGATGGCGAGGAACCAGGGGAACCGCTGTGGGATCGCCAGCTACGGCGCTTCCCCCCGGATCCAGAGAGCTTCCCGCTTCGGGACGAGCTCTGGAGATGCCACCACTCACCTCGAGCGAGCCTGGCTCCGCTCCCACCTTCCCTCCTTGAGGAATCCCGCCACGTTCCTACGGATACGCCGCGGCAATCGGGAGCGAGCGCGGTCGGCTCGTTCGAGCGCCTCGTCCCGCGTGACCGTCCCGCTAATAAGGGATAATCCGTCGGGAATTATTTCAATTATTTGGGTGGAGGGCTCTCTGTTGTCATCGCTAACTCTTGCAATCTCCAGCTGCTTTTTAGAAAATGACTCAGCTGCGTCTTCACAGCCCTCGAGACGCAGCTCTGCTTCCTCCTCCTCTCTTAGAAGGTGGTTTCTCACCACCAGTTTACATCCCATGGTGGTGAGAAACGCACCCTCCTGCCCACCCATCCTCGATGGGAACCCGGAGGATGCCCGGAGAAGAGGCTGGAGCATCATTTCCAGGCAGCTGAAGACTTTGCTGTCACCCTTTTCAGCCCGTCTGCCACGTCAACGCGCGTGAAGCGCGTCCCCGCTGTCCCCGCGGTGCTGAGGTTGGCCGGCTCAGCTCCCTGCCGTGACGCCATCTCAACCATCTCTTCCCACCCGCGCCTCCCCGCCGAAAAGGGAATAAATGTGATTGATTTTTGCGTCCCAAGAGCTGCTTTTGGGCTGGTTGGTACGTCGCTGCGGTGAGATGGGAGCTCAGGTCTACCCAGTTCAACCCAGGGCTCCGTGCTTGGCCTCATCCTGTCTCAACTCAGCACCGAGTCACAAAAATACGCAAATTGTGCCAGAGGAGCGCGAGCCCCGCTCCTGCCCGCTGGCCCAACGAGCCACACAAACCACCGTGAGAGCCTCGCCACTAACTCGTGGGATGCTGGAGATAAACCCGCGTCCGCAGCCGTTTCCTGGTGGTACTGAGGGTCGAGCTTCAAACAGCCTCGTGACGGGCACGGCCAGCCCGGCTCCCAGCGAAGCGAAAACGAAATCAGAGCGTTTCCTCATTTCCTGGCTCGTGATTTGCCCGACGAGTTGCAGCTGCCGTGTGCCAAAGGTCCTCCCGGCAGTGGGGACACACGGGATTTGTCCCCCGGCATCCGTCCTGCCCCGCTCACGGAGGCTGCGGGGCAGCTGGAGATCGGTACCCACCACCAGAAGAAGCTTTTTCAGGTACGTTGGTGCTTTTGTGTTTTGACAGCCCTCTGGGAGGACTGGGCTTTGAGGAAGTCACGCTGGAGGAACATTATGTTGAGCGTTGACTCCATCTTATCTCTAATCTTCTCCAAGCCCCCTCGGGGTGGTTGAATCGTACGGAGTAGCCCATCCTCAGGAGGTGGTGGACATCAGCTGGAAGAAAATAGGGTCGTTTTTTGCCTTTTAAGGTGCTGGAAAACAGAGGTTTGTCCAACGCAGGCGATGTGCAAGCTTCCTTCAGGGAGGCTTTCCCGGGCAGGGCGGAACCATGAGCCAAGGCGCGTGTCTGGATGTGCCCCTGCGTGTCGGTGCCCGCGCGGGCAGGGGTTGGGTCCAGGAGACTTCTATGCCCGAGGGAAGTAGTTCTGGTGGGATTTCTCTTCCCGTCTCATCAGGGCTGGGGGTACGCAGCAGGAGAGCGGTGCCGCCGCGGGGTGCCAGCCTGGGCAGGCAGGACGGGAGCTGTTGGCATCAGCTGGTGTAGAAAACCCGTGAAGGGCATGCC